CCCCGCCCGGGCCTCTCCAGGCCCTTCCTTGCTGGCACCTGCCTCCCGTGTGGGCAGCACCGCTCACGGCGCTTTCTCCCTGACTGCAGGAAGCCCAGGAGGCCGATGCCTGCCAAGAGGAGCTGGCCATGAAGGTGGAGCAGCTGAAAGCTGAGCTGGTGGTCTTCAAGGGGCTCATGAGCAATGTGAGTGCGGCCCCTCAGGCCCGCGACCGGGCAGGGCAGGCCTTTCTGGCTTGTGCCTGTGGCTTTCCTGGCCACAGCCCTCACCCACCTTGCTGTGCTTCTGTCTCCCCCCGGCTGGCCCCCCACCCCACCCTCATTCGAGAGGAAAGGAAGGAACAAAAGCTTGGGTGTTGGTGTCATAGGCGAGAGGCAGTATGGCCTGTCAAGCAGTTATTAAGAGGCCAGACCCCGGCTCTGCAAGCTGCCTGCAGGGTGGCCTTGCTGAAGGCCTTCTGTGCCCTCCTCTGTGGAAAGGGATCCGAAAGGCATGTACTTTGCAGAGTGGTTACGGAGATGATGATGCACTTGGGACCGTGCTGGCCCAGATTTCATGCGGAATAAGTGACAGCCATCCTTCTTCTTCTTGCAGTACTTTCTCCGCTCTTGTAACTCCCTGTGGTCTCTCCCTCTGGGAGCATAAGTTCCACGGGGGAGCCCCCGCAGGTCCTGGGCTGTGCCCTCTGGGGCTCCCCGTCTGACCAGAGGGCCAGTGGCCTGAGCAGCCCATGAGTGCTGTGGGGAGGGCATCCAGGAAGAGGGGCAACGGTGGTGTGTGACTGCAAGGATGAGGATCTTGGCCTTGTCTGGGGTGCCGGCCGCCGCCTCATTGTGCCCCGCGTTCCCTGGACAGAACCTGTCTGAGCTGGACACAAAGATCCAGGAGAAGGCCATGAAGGTAGATATGGACATCTGTCGCCGCATTGACATCACCGCCAAGCTGTGCGACGTGGCTCAGCAGCGCAACTGTGAGGACATGATCAAGATGTTCCAGGTGAGGGGACGGGGCTGCCCGCAGGCCCCGGGCCCCTGCCCATGCCTGCCCAGTGCCTCAGCTCCTCATGGGAGGGGGCGCAGGCCCAGAGCCCTTCGTCAGGCCTGGCCCCTCCTTCTTGGGGGGCCTCACCCTGGCACTGGGGGCCCTCAGTGGGACTCGGCTGGGGGGCAAGGAACAGCCTCTGAAGAGAAGGTTCGGAAGCTGCCTCTAACACCGTCTCTCCCCTCCCTCCCTCTCTCTCTCCTCTGTCCGCCTCCTCTCCTCTCTTCCTTTCATCTTCTCTTGCTTTCTCCACAGAAGAAGCTGGTTAGTTTTGCTCTCATGCAAGCTTTTTAATGTCCCAGTCCCAGTTTCTAAGCCACCCGGGCCTTTGGCCGTCAGTTTTGACCCGCTGGGCTTTTGGGCCCAGATTTCTTCTCCTGTCTCCGTTCTCCTTGCTCTTCCCCCTTTTCTCTATCTTGTTCCCTCTTTGCTTCATTTCTTTCTATACCTTCTCCTCTGGCTTTTCCAGATCTGGATGTGTGATTCAGGTTCTCCTTTGTATACACCACGTCCTCCTCCTCCTTGCAGCCAAAAACTTTCCTTTTTAGTTCGGTCATTTCATTAGAAAGGCTTTTTTTTTTTTTTTTTTTTTTTAAAGAAAACAAATCTTCCGTAGCCATTATGCACATCTGATGTGGTCGCCCCGGGCCATTTCTCCCCTGATCTTACCGCCCTATTTTCTGTTTCTCCTTTTTCTTCCTTCTCAGTCTGCAGCCCTGCCTCCACCCGTGTGTGTCTGCCTGTCTCTCGGTAACTCCAGTTTCTGTTCCTGTCGTTGTAACTGTGTCTTCTCTCTCTGTCTGCCCCACCCTCCCGCTGGTTCACGCTTCTCCGCCTCCCCCGCGTCCCCTCCCCCCCCCACCAACCCGCCGGCGCCCACCCGCCCTTCTCCTCACGCACCCGGCCTCGTCTCTGTAGTCTCTGCACTTGTCTCCCATTAAGGTCCCATCCATGGGGGGGCGGAAGCGGGAGCGCAAGGCTGCCATCGAGGAGGACACCTCCCTGTCGGAGAGTGACGGGCCCCGCCAGCCCGATGGGGATGAGGAGGAGAGCACAGCCCTCAGCATCAACGAGGAGATGCAGCGCATGCTCAACCAGCTGTGAGTCCCGAGTCCTGCAGGCCCAGCCCTCAGCAGCAGCCCCCTCCCCCCCGAGGCCGGAGCCCC